GATCTTCGCATTCACTCACTGATTGAAGAATTTAACCTAAATGTTCTGCATCCCAAAAGCTTTGACCTTTTCGGTATTGCTCCCTGGCAAGAAGTGAATATTCACCTACTTAACATTTTTGGAGAACTAAAAGAAGAGGATTACCAATGATGTCCTATATCAACAACGTTTCCTAAAGCATAGAAGCAGTCATTCTAACTACAAAGCAATTTTTACTAATGTCTCAAAGAATCATGACCACGTCGGGGCAGCTTTTGTTTGTGATAAAGAAATAAAGAGTAGTAAACTTTATAAGGCTGCATCTGTCTTTACTGCGGAAACTTTTGCCATTTCGAATGACTTAATCTTTATCTCTTGGCAGAATAGCAGAACGTTCATCATCTACTCTGACTCTCTGAGTGCTCTTGAATCAATAAATACAAATAGCAGCCACATTTTGGTCTTAGAACTTTTAAAGGCACACCTCCGTTTGAGAAACGCAGGTTATTATATCGCGTACTGCTAGGTGCCTGGACACGCTGGCATCAAAGGCAATGAACTCGCCGATATTGCAGCAAAATCTGCTGATATTACATCAGAAAACGATGTCCTTTTACAGACATACGGAATTACATTATAACTAAGGTCTTGTTCAGATGGCAAGAATTCTGGGAATGCCAAACTCTGAACAAATTAAGGCAGGTAAAACCCAATTTGGAGTACTGGGAGTCGAGAGGGAATCGGAAGGAGGATATACTACTGACTCGCTTACGAATTGGTTATTGCAGACTCACACATCAGTACCTCTTGAAAGGAGATTATGAGCCTATTTGTGGCACTTGCAACGTTCCCGTTTCAGTCAATCATATTTTATTATTGAATTTTTATTTTAACTCTACGAATGTTAACTTAACAGATCTCATTGGAAAAAACCCTCACATCAACCTCATAAGTTTTTTTTTTTAAAAAAGACATCTCCTTTTACCATATGATTTGAACTACATTTTATTCTCCTCTACCTGTTGCTAGAGCATTTTTCAGTCATTTCTGCCTGGACATTTTAAAGTCATTTCTCCGTGCCTTCGTCAGTATTTCACGCTCCTTTTATCAATTCACTTGATACTTGTTTATGCATCTCTAATTTTACTCACCATTTGTCTGGCGCATAATAACCCTCGAGGTTTTGTGCCATTTAAAAAACTAACCAACCAACATAAATACTCATAAGCAAAATAATACACAAAGCGCAAAATGCATAAACAGAGAACACATGAAACAGGTACATACACATAATCACTTAAGGCACAAAAGACAAATGGAGTACATGAAGGCTGGAGCACAAAGTTAGTGTGGGGCAGGGTGATCAGCAAATAAGCCCTGATTTCAAAATTAAATATCTCTACGACAAAGATCGATAGAATTATGCGGTAAACTGTACGTTTATTAGCAAAACTGTAAAAATGGTGTACAAAAGTTTAGAAGATTTAGTTACGAAAATCGTTAACAGATGGCGCTCTAATCGCAATAACATATAAATAGCCTTTAAAATGTGCTTCAAGGTCTAAAGTGATCAGCATTCGACCGCGTCTGGCATGAGGGGTTTATTTATAAACTTATAAATCTCCCTATGGATAGAGAGCTGATTCAGCTAATTATGTATTTCATCACTAATAGGAAATTCACTGTGGCTATTGGAAAGGACATCTCCAGTTTACGCACCATGAATGCAGGCGTCCCACAGGGGTCCATTTTAGGGCCCGTCCTGTATTTATTTTATGTTCATGACTTCCCTAGGGCTCACATTGGCAGAAATTACTTTCTTGGGTGCTATGCGGACGATACGGCATTAGCCGTAAAGTCCGTAAACGCACACCATGCAATCAAGAAATTACAGGAGCTTCTACCAGTGGTAAGAAAAGTGGTGTACTACTTGGAGAATTGCTATTAATGCCAGCAAGTCGCAATTATTATTGATATGGAGGGAAAATACACAGTTGACTATTAATAGCAAGCTCTTCTTATTCTCTGAAGAGATTCCTAGAGTTAGTAAGGCGAAATATTTAGGAGTAATGCTAAATGAAAGATTAAAATGGGGAGATCATGTAACAGAGGTCAGAAGAAAAATTTTCACTGTTGTAACTAGTCTCATCCCTATATTGGGTAATTATTCTAGCTTAGACCTCAAGAAAAAGAGGCTAGTTTATATCACGGCAATTAGGCCATTGATGACTTATGCGTCGCCGGCCTGGTGCACGGCTACCAAGGAGGATATAAAAAGACTTCAAATCATGCAAAACAAAGTCTTAAGGCTTATCATCCATGCTCACTTTTTTGTGAGCAATGCTACACTGCACTGTGACTTAACTGGACACTCTAGAAGAGCACCGTGAACAAGATCAACAGGAAATTCTTCACGAAAGCTCTGAACCTGTGACCATATGAGAAATTTTGATCTCTTTACCTATGAAATATTGAAGAATGAGGACGCCAAACTGTTGCCCACTTGCGGCCCACCTTATCAGGGACCCAAACTTTCCCACCTAGTGCCCACCAGTAAATAATGTACCTAATGTGTTTATTAGCATTTTTTAATTTTGAATCTTACTCATTTATTGTACTGTGTATTTCTTAAATTCACTAGTTTTATTCACATTCTACCCTCATTTTATGACTTCCACTTAGTCACGCCTTTACCGGGCCGGTTAACTTGCTAGTGAGCTCTGCGTTGCTGGTCTTCCTATTCTTTATCCGTCTTTCTCCTCCTTACTGCGGACATTATGTGAAGATAGTTCTATGTTATTGTGCCCATCCGGCATAAATTTGATTGATCCAGATAAAGTACTGATCTCAGTAGTATTCTGGCTATAAGTTATCAGTCAGTCAGTCAAAGTGATCAGTACGACTGTTGGCTAGTGAAAAGAGGCTAGCGTAGAAAGTGAAATAATGTATTCCATTGAACAACTTTTTTTTTTTTTTTTTTTTTTTTTTTTTTTTTTTTTTAAATTTCACCGATTAGAACAGACTCCTACGGCAACACGTCGCAGTTTTCAAAACCAATCCAATGTTCTAGTTGGACCCGATGCGAAAACCATTCGCATGCTCTTCGAAAAATTCGAATGGACTGGCAGCGTGGCTGATGGTCGAAAGGGAAATGTTAAGCCTAGGCAAACTGTAGTCATTTCTGAAAAATGCAGCCAAAGTCTCTGGAATTGCTCAGCAAAATCCTAGGAAAAGCATCCGATGGATTGCATCAGAGACAGGTTTTAAGTACACGAGCACGCAAAAAATGTTAAAAAATAGCCTATGGCTGTTTCCATACAAAATCCAGAGTCATCAGGCCATACCCATGAAAGCTGTGCAACAAAGGGATGACTTTGCGAATCAGATTCTAACAACGATCTACAAAAACAGATTTGATGTGAGCTCCATCTGGTTCAAAGATGAGGCACAATTTCATTTGAATGGAATCGTTAATAAACAAAACTGGAGATTTTGAGGTTCCGAAAATCCTCATTTGTGTGAAGAGAAAGCACTGCATTCGCCTAAAGTTATTGCATGGGCTGCGGTTTGCGCCAGAGCCATTATCGGGCCCTTTTTCGTACCAGAAACGATAACTACTGAACATTACGTTACAATTTTGGAATAATTTGTCAGCACTCAACTAGCGCTGGAGGTTCGACCAGGTCTCGATTGGTTCATGCAAGATGGGGCTCGACCACATCGAACAGATTTCTTCATGAATACTACTTTGGGAATAGAGTAATTGCGTTAGATTATCCGCAATTTACGGACACAGGAATAGCTTGGCCTCCATATTCTCCCGATCTGAGTGCTTGTGACTTCTTTCTGTGGGGCGCATTGAAAGACACTGTCTATCGAAACAATCCCGCTACTCTAGATAAGCTTGAATTGTTATTGGCGTTGCATGTGATTCCATTTCCGTTGAGACATTGCAAAACGTGATGTCAAATTTCCTTGTTCGTTTATGCCACCTGATTGTTTCGAATGGTGAGCATTTTGAAAAATTTTTATTTTGATTGCAAAGGCTGCTTCCCTTTATTTTATTTTATTTTATTTTATTTTAGACTCCTTTCAGAGGAAGAGTTTTCATCGCAGAGCACCATCTGTTAACGATTTTCGTAACTAAATTTTCTAAACTTCTGTTCACCATTTTTGCAGTTTTGCTAATAAGCGTACAGTTTACCGCATAATTCTATCGATCTTTGTTGTAGAGATATTTAATTTTGAAATCAGGGCTTATTCGCTGATCACCCTGTAAATACAGGTACATCGTGAAGGATGAGTTCGTGAATACTCATGTGTGCAGAAGAGTGCAGTTAGATTGCTTAAGGCGTTGATTATTGTAGCGTCACTAAGAAGGTAGATAAAAAAAACACTGATTAAAAGAGCACGAGGATGTTGTAGCACTAATTATTGGGCTCCAGCAACGTGAGTGCTCCAGCAACGTGAGGCACACAAACATACAATAACACTGCACAAGCACATGCTGTTGAACGGATTGCGGTATGCAATATATCATAAGGATTGCGGTATGCAATATAACATATATCATAAGGAGGCGTTCATAAGTGCTACGAAATAGGAAATCGATAATAAAACAAATTTCAGATTCAAATTAGGGCTTCCACATGCCCATATTCTATGGAAGATTAGTCAAATTTTGATGGCTCTAGGTACCGTTGTTTTATCACAATGCGAGAAATATACATAGATATTCATGCAGATTATTCATTATTTAATTTCTTTAAATATAATACAGGGCGACAATATTGGGTGGCAACAATTTGAAAAGTTATTCGCCGTTTATAATTTTCAATGTAAAATGCCAAAACGAAATTAATAATCCTTCAGGGCAAATTGTCCCTTTGGACTTAAAAAAAAGCATATGTAATCATACCGGTAAACGTAATCAAAAGATGCTGCAGATTAGGACAGATTATATTTCTAATTTAAATTTTTTTTATTCAGATCTGTATATGAAAATGCTGAAAAATACTTACTTGTCTTTCAGTAAGATCAAGGGCAACGGCAATTTCATATCGTCTGAGTCTAGTTAAGTAATTATGCTGAGCAAATTCTTGTTCCAGTTCTTGAACTTGGTGTTTGCTAAATGCTGTTCTCTCTTTGCGAGGTTTGCAAAAATCTTCTTCATTCGGACAATCTAATAAATAAAATTTACGTCATGAAATAATCATTTTATTAGTTTTGAAGATTTATTAAATGTTTCTATAAGTTCATTCATATCCTGTAGAAAACATAATTTTTCCGGCCTTTTTAATTATGTAAAAGGCATTCATTAAGTGAATATATATTATTGACAAGATATTTCTTTCAACATCGTCAATTTATAATGCACAGAATAATAATAACTGAATGAATTTTTAAGTACGACGCTCAGAAATAAGAAACAGATTTAAAGTGGACCTATACTTACATATGGGCCTGATTCTAGTGTTTCGATCTTCTGAATGCTGGGAATTCGTTTCGGGTTCAATTTCACGGGAACTGGCTGGATGCGTGGTTAATATTCATAGTTTTAAGCGTGTGTAACGTAATTACTGGCCAGTTTTCCTTCGAAAATTCATCATGAAGGCATCCCTTCCCTTGCACTAACAGCACTCATATGTCTTGCCATTGGCCTAACTCACTGTTGTGTTCGTAATAGATTGAATGTACACAGGTCCGATAATAGTTTAGTAAAATTAATTTTTATCAAATGAAAGACTTCAAAATTCTGAAATTTTCCACAGAAATACTCGTATTGCTGTTCACAGTATTACACAGTACAATCAATATTTACGCTTCAAACTACTAAAATCGTTAAACACAATGCAATGAAAAGCGGCTTTAAGGAGAAAGCTAACCCGGAGATAACCCCGCGTTCACGCTGAACTGACAACTCCCAACAACAATAATTGAGAGCAAATGCTCTCGCCGCCCTTATATAGTTCCCACCTGGCTGCCGAGAGATTTCTAATAACTTCTGCTTCTTGAAATTACTGTAAAGCAATATGAAGGTCGAATTACGGTTGCAACTAATATAGTGATCAATTATATTTATTCAGTTACAATACCTATTACGGTAATACAGGTACCGCACCAAAATTTCACCAAATTTGGCGACTTTTGGAGAACTTTCGCCAGATTTGGCGATAAAATAAGTCTCTAAAACTGTTGTCAGCTTGCCGATATGTCTCTAAATGACGGAGATACCCATTTACTCAATGTTAAATGAACTTGCCCTTATATTCTTACTTTTCAGGCATAGCTTTTCGCTCCTAATTTTTCAGAAAAATACCACACTTTGACATATAATTGCACTAAAATCATCTATTTATAAAATTCATGAACTAACGTATAGTTCAGAAACTTGGAACCTTTGAAACCTTTGAAAGTGCAAAAAATTTACTACTTTTTCGGCTGAAGAAGAATGTTTCAAAAAGATGCAGAAGCTTTTACATTCTTTAAAAATTTTAATCACTTAAAAGTGTATCATGTATCTCTTGGTTAAGGGAAGAAAAAGGATTTTATTCCCATGGTAATTACGAATTCAGTGTGTTATTTCAATGCAATTCTTTCCAAAATTTAATCGGTAGAGAATGACTGTGTATTATGCTCTTGGCATATAAAATCTCCAGACCTGACCTTTTATGAGCTTTTCTTATCTACCACTTAGCAGAACTTCTCTATCGAATTGTTTTAGCTGCAACACGAAAATGATTATCGTTTTAATGTGTGGGAACTTACGCAAGAATATATGGCATCGTACACTTCAGTCTTCTTCCTACCGAGTGATGTACAACATATTCTTGAATTTAAAAAAGTAATATTTTTACAATCATATTAAAACAACTATTTCATTTTGAAAGATACGTATTTCTCACGGTACACAGTTATGGTATTATAAGGGTAAAAAGTAAGTCCTAGTTAAAATTGTTAATAACTTGTTTAACTAATAGAATTTGTATAGGAGAAAAAGTATTGTGGTCTGTAAATGACGTAATGTGCAAGAATTGTATTGTTAATATCTTAAAAATTTAATTTGTTTTATTTCATAACTTAAATTTTAATTTGTTTTATTTCAGAGTAATAAGAGCAGCAACAGAGATAACCCAAAACTCCGCAATGCGTGATCTTGCCATATCACATCCTATGACAAAGTGTGGCAGTCTGTTGTGAAGGTGCAGAGATGGTAGCCCAGTTTTCACCCCGTGTTTCAATTAATGCCAAGACCATCAAGAACTGCAAAGCCAAACTCAAGGTATGTGTACTACATACAGGTTTTGTGGGCCTACGGGATGAGAGGGTATGTGGGAGGTACTTGCAGAAGCGATCATTCCTCGGCATCTAGAGAGGAGAATATGCAAAGCTGTGCCTGAAGTCCACAAAAGTCAACAGGGCAAGCTGCTCGCGAAGGTGGTCTATCTCCCCACTATCACAGTATGAGCTGTTTTTTTTTAAAAAAATAGGGCTCATTCGTAACGGGATTTGACACGATCACTCAGTATCGGGTGTTGCGTCATTCTTCGTTGCTCTTCATTGCTTAATAAAATTAATAAAAACAGATGTTAACGATACAAATATTCTATTTTAGGAGTCACAAGATTATTATTTTAGGAATACAGGATTAGCCTAAAAGAAATTTGCCCCGCTATCGTGCAGTATTTTTTTATGATTGCGCAGAATTTGTAGGAAGAGAAGGAATATAAAAACTCGGGTCTTTGGTTTAATTCCACAAGAATAAGTCACACGCTGTTATTGGATTCCTAAGTAATTAATATGCATTCTCTGATTTGTTGAAATGACAGTCCAACGCCGAGCAGATTTTCATCTATACCACCATACCACGCTTTAAAATAAGGCAGTATAACAATAATAAAGTTTGTTATTTACGTATTCGAGGCCCAGTTGCGCAGTGGCTAGCGCATCGCGCAGCTGCATTACAGGTCCGGGGTTCGATTTCCGGGCTGGGGTAAGGTCGACTCAGCCTTTCATCTCTTGATTTCCATCACTTGGGTCGATAAAATGAGTATCAAGTTCGCTTGGGGATTAAACACTGGGGGGTCCTGTGACAAACTGACCACTTTTTCAGGGCATATGCTTACACACCCCGGGGCCAACGGTCAAGAAAGCAGATTTCGGGCACTGCAGGCCTTGGCCCATTAAAACTGTTATGCCACTGAGTTTATTTAAGTATCCGAACATACAAAAAGCTTTTTTACTTCCTTTCATCATACTTTCGGCATTTATTTTCTCTTTAGTGGCTTGCGTGGCAACCTACCAACTTTTATTCACAATTTTTTTATGACTAGAACATTTCAAGTAACGCTTGACAGGTGTGGTGTCACAATGTCAGGTGTGGTGGGACAAGAAGATGGCTTCGAGGTTGTGTGCTAAGCGTTACATTGTTCAGCTTGAAAATAAATTACATGTTGAGGGAACTTCCCCGTACCGTTTTAGGAACATTTATGTGTTGATCTCCACATAAGCTGCTGAAGATATGATATATGGGAAGAGACAGTTGCAGATCGTTCTTAACAGGATCCAAACACAGTCAAATAAAAGATTTGTGTTTTCAAAACAGAAAACTGTGTGTGCCCAGTTCTGCAGGAAGCATAATTTTCATCCTGAGTCTGAGCTTCGCATTCAGGGATCCTTAATGCCTATGATATCTGAAGTGACGTTTTTAGAAATGATGTTCTACAGAAAACTGAACTGAACTTTCTCATGTCCTGTACTTGAAGAAGAAAATGTTTCAAAACATTGAGCGTTCTGAATGCCCTAGCGAACACCTCTTGGGTTGTTGCCGATTGCTTCGCATCTATAAAACACTTATCCGTTCAAAATTATTTTTCAGTGGTTTATGTTTCTTTTGTATACATTGTCCCTGTATACTTTTGTATAGTCAAAAGTTCCTATTAAACTCCTGATGACGTACTTCTGAAGCGCAAGGGAGTTCTTGCATTGCACAGCTGCGCCGATTCTGGACGATACTCGAGTGGTTCTTGTAAGACGCACGGGTGTCAGGACCTGCTTTCGCTTGTATTACTGAAACTCGATTCTGTTCATCACCAGGCTCTGCGGATATTTCGGAGTGTTTGGAATATCTCCTGTTCAGAGTCTATATATTGATTGTTATGAACCCTCACTTCACTTCAGTTGAAGAGCAAGCAACTGCTCTTCATCTTTATTTCAATATATTATCTCAGAATGACTACCTGTGTAGGCTGCTTTTGCTTGATGATAGGTGTAAACGTCTGTTTGAAGCACGACTGTCTTGTGAGCCTTCTTTCTTTTTAAAGATTCGCTCGCTAATTGAAAAACACGGCATGACTAATGTGTATAGCCCAGCAATAAAGTATTTTGAAATTTCACTTTGCCATCAAGCGAAAATCCAGTTTCTTGATGCTTTTCACCATCTTTACAAAAGGAATACTAACGAGATCGTACACAGACAACGCTTTCTTAAACATAGGCAAAAATACAGCGTATACATTCCAATATACACAAATGGGTCGAACGAAACTATCACGTTGGAGCATCTTATGTGATTGGCAATCACACGGAGGGCATAATTTTGCAAGTTATTTGCTCAGTACTGACCTCTGAATTATCTGCTATATATTATATCATTTCATTCATTTCTGGACTATGCCGCAGGAAATTTATAATTTATACAGACTTCTTTAGTATCCCAAAAGCTTTAGAAACATTTTCTGACACACAGAACTTAAGAGCTGTTCTTGTGACTAACTTTAAACTTAAGGAAACCAGGTTATCAGATACTTTACTGCTGGGTTCCCGGGCATACGGGGATAAAAGGCAATGAGCTGACAGACATCACAGCAGTGTCTGCTTTTGAACTGTCGAGCCAGCTTGTTTCTTTTCAAGATATCAGTACTGTCATCAAACATAGTATCATCAATAAATGGCAGCGACTATGAGACATTCAGTTTTTCAATAAGCTGAGAAGTGTAAAATGTAGAGTAGAAGGCTGGGAAGCCAGAAGAAGGAAGTCTTTTTGATTGGACTTAAAAATGGCCACTCTGTTATACATAATTATCTTCTAAAAGCCTATTTGCTCTCTCTAATCCCATTTTCTCAAAGGGTAATGCTTCTCAGTCTGTGCTTCCCATTTTAGTAGAATGTGTATACTTAAAGAGTTTACGTTTTATATATTTTAATAGCTCTGACTTATCTTCTGTTTAATCGGATAAGTGATCAATTTTAATCTGTTTCAGTATTTGAGAGAAACTGAATTTTATTATTTAATTTGAAGATTTTTAAATACTTTATTTTTTTGTGTTACATGTATTGAGATTTTATCTGATTTTATATTAAAATTTATATTGTAAATTTCAAGTAACTATATTTAAATTTGAGTAAATAGACTGTAAATTTGGCACATTACCTTTTAGGTTATGCGTCAAAACTAATCAACCAACCTTAAAGGACCAACGTGCAGAGACTACTGCAAATGAGTTTCTTGCCAGCTTGGTGTCGAGCCTTGGAGTTCCTAAAACGATCACGATAGATCGAGGAGCAAACTTCAAAAGTTAGCTGTTTTGTTGCCGTAACTAAATTTTTAGATGCCTTTAAGAATCGATGCACTGCTTACAATCCTAAGTGCAATTGTATGGAGAAGCGTCTGCAATGTCAGCTTAAGGCCATCCTGATGAACAACAACTGTACACAGTGGGTAGACTCTCTTGCAATAGCGTTGTTTGATCTGCGTTCTAGGCTCAAGTATCATTTAAATGCCGCACTTGCACACTTTGTTAAGGAGCTCCTCTGCAGAATTCTTTAGAAATTCGAGCCAGAGTGCTGTTTCCCAATTAGAAATTTCTCCGATCTCTGCAGCTTAAAATGAGGGATCTGACACCACCTCCATCGTTGAGACATACGTCCTGTGGTGTCTTTATTCACCCGCAATTCTCAGTTGATACACATCTTTATTCGAAGATATTTCGTTAGGTTTAGGCCTTTGCAGCAGCCATATTCTGGTCCCCATGCCGTGAATTCCCCGTTCAGATAAGTACTTTATATAGTGATCATTAAAGGCAAGGACGCATCCGTATCTGTTGATCGTCTGAGGCCTGCGTTTAAACTGCTCCTGAAGGATGGGCATGGGCAAGCACCTGCGACTATGACAGCGATCAGTAAGTCTGTCGTAACGAGATCAAACCGCATTTCTCGACCCATTGTCCTGGTCCAGAGCTGACGTCCTTCGCATTCCGGAGGTGAGCGAATGTAAAATTTGGGTGGAGAGAAATGCGCACGTAGCCAGCCTAAAAGCATATAAGTCAAGCTATTTTTTTAAACCGGCAAAGAAAGCATAGACCGAGAACTGAGCAAATGGACAGCGGAAGGAGCGGCAAGCTGCAGTGGATTTCTTCAGTCGGTACCTGAAGAAAGCAAGGCAAGGTAACCCAGTAAAGAATATGGACTTTCAATCTTAGTAGCATTGCTGGTGTTACCTTTCTCATCGTTACGTTCCTCTCAATTAATAACAGGATTTCATTTTCAGTATTATTTTTGGTTACGTTAGTTTACTAAATTTTGTTATTTAAATGGGGGGCATAACAAATAACGGTTTAGTTATTAGTAGATTCTGTTTTCATTAACATACCTTCTGATTAAACGGAGTCATATGTGTGAACATGTTTTTTTTCGTGCCACCACAATTATAATTACTACAGTATAAAAATGTAACAAAATAAATGAGTTCTGAGATTTCTGGAAATTATCACATTTTTATCTTATGCCATAAAGACAACTTAATTGCCAAATTTTCCCGATTGGACAGCATAAAATTTGGCATTACAGATAGCTTATACAGGGTGATTCTACGATCATGGGACAAACTTAGGAGGATGGTTGAGCGTACCAAAACATGAAACTTTAGTACATGAATGTAGGGTCTAAAATGACGTGTTAAGGCGCGAACGCAAAAAAAATGATAGGGGAGGAAAAATGTATTTATTCACAAAATGAACTCAGAGTACTTCTTTGCAGAAATATAGTATTTACAAGAAATGTTCAAAATGCGACCACCAACAGTACATACTTGGTAGCATCGTAGAACGGATCGGCGAACCCTTTGAAAAATGGAAAGTATTTCGCGCACGCTTGCCCAAGCATGTCACTTGATGACTTTAGCACCTGGAGAAGTCTTGAGCTAAAAATTTTGCCTTTCTCACACTGCGTTTCTTCAAAATATATCTGTTTAAGTTACCTCAGTATTAATTGATACCCGCTAATATATGCCAGTGTATACACTGCCAGTAACATATTGCCTGCTTTGGACAATGAAATATATGTAACTTCGGCATTAGAAGATCGATTATATACGTTTTTTGTTTGTCTGTTTCCGGCAAGTATTGTTTGACAGTTGCATCAGTTTGTTATTATCCGCCTCTTGTCGCTGCTTCTATGTGAATTTTGTTAAACGAGATTGATCTGTTTAGTCATGGCAAAACAGGCGAGGGCTATCTGCCGAAAAGAAGTGATAACTCTCAGGAAACGTTTTTAAGACACTGTTTCGTATCCATATCACACACGCTGGAAACCACGAAAACGAAAATCCAGCCAGCCCCGTTCACCAGGATTTGAGTCCATATCGGACTACTAGATTTCAACGATTTTATTGTTTGGCTGGTGGTGGGCCTCTTTTGCTATATATAAGGTAAATGACTTCTCTCGAGCATTTCTCAGTTCTTATTCTAGTGCGTTGTCAGCTGTTGAGGGCATTATTTTTCCATCACACATCTTCTGTCATAATATAGTTTCATTAGGTTAAATTCGGAACATTTCCGTTCCTTTTCCTTTTTCTTTCCAAATCTCGGAAAATCTAATAAACGCGTGATGCAAAATGCAGCAAAATTAATAAACATTATCCCGAGAATATTTTGTAACATAAAAGTTAAAAAAAAAAAAAAAAAAAAAAAAAAAAAAAAGCAGTGCAGATATAACGCTTGCTCTAATTGTTCGGAAATTAACGTTGGAATAAAAACAGGAGACCCCGCCGCCTTTCCTGAGGGAAGGAGGAGTTTCATCTTTCCAGAAAAGAATCCTGAAAAACGTCTAGGATTGCAATATTTTTGGCGATGTATTGGAAGATACCCACTGATACACAAGCGTTGCATTTAATTTGAAGTTAAGTGTTGTCCAAAATACTATACACTTACGACGTTCTAAATAGGAGTTATGGAGTAATGGAATGTTGGCGCCAAAACATCCACGTGAACACAAACATATGTGCCACTGCCCAATTTTGCATAAGCCAGTAAGTTTTTAAATGATGATCCGGTAGTTGACAACTTTAGCACATAATAGTCCAATATTATCATGTTCAAGTAACACGTGGAATTTATCGTTGTTGGGGTGAAAAAAATGGACCAGTGAAAACACGTCGGATAAATCTATGCCTTAACTTTTCATGACAGTGGTCTGATTTTTTTGTCTCTTCAGTTTAGATAATAAGAATTTTGTACATAGATAGATGATTTTAGTACAATTATATGTGAAAATGTTGTATTTTTTCTGTATAATGTAACTTGAAATTCTAAAGAAGCGAAGTTTGCAGGAAAAGTAAGAGTACAGGATAAAAGTAAGAGTACATTGAGTAAATGGCTATCTCGCTATTTTGGCGAGATTTCGCCAAGCTAGCAACAGTTTTGAGGACTAATTTTCCAAATTTGGCGAGAAATTACAAAACTTGGCGACATTTGGGTGTAGTCACTGTATCTCTGTAAAGTGTATTGTAATTGAATAAAATGTAATTGGTCACCTTATTAAGCTGTAAACGTATCGTGTCCTCTTATGCCTTTCAGTAAGTTCGAGAAACAGAAAGCACTAGAAATATCTCGGCGGCCGTGTGAAAACTATATATATATATATTCGGCTTTTATTATAACGTCAAAGAGAGCATCTACCCTCAATAGTTGTTGTTATGAGTTCTGGGTTCAGAGCGACTTCGGAGTATTAAAAGCTTTGCCTTTTTTGATGCTCTTTGCTTGCGTTGTGCTTAACGTTCTTAGTAGTTTGAAGTGTGACTATTGATTGTTCTCTGTGATACTGTGAACATCTGAAAGAGTATTTCTGTGGAAAATTCCAGAACTCTGAAATTTTTCTTTTGATGATATAAATTTTGGTGCATTCAATCTATAATGAGCCACTGGGCACGAAACAATATTTTACTTATCTTTATCAAGATGAATTAGCCTCATCCCAGAGGTTAGGTTAGATTATTTGAATACAGCAAGGCGCTCGAGGGCATTCTAAGAAAGGGCTTTCATGGAGAGCTTTCTAAGTAAAACTGGCTCATATTCGCGTTACACACGAAGAAAACCAACCACGCAGTCAGCTTGTTTGCCTGGTACCAATATTCAGCTTTCTTAACCACTCGGCAACTGGTAGGCCCGCCTCTGCACAGAACTATGCATTTCCAAATGCACAAATATATTGGAGAAACGCTATGCGTACTGAAAAGCTATGTGATGATCAGTGAATTTATATTAATATATTTAATGCAAGGCATAAATTTATACTTTTGCGATTGTAAATGTTTTTCCTGTCCAATGGTCGAAGTTTCAGTTCTCTTTGTACTCGTATCTCCACGATTCATCAAAGTATTTAGTTATAAACATTAGCTTACGTAAAGTTATTTTAATTTGGTATTTTTAAATCACAAATAAAAGTAATCAAATGGTATGGATTTAAAATAGTTTTAAATGTCGTTGACTAGCTGTACATTTTCACTTTAATACAATAAATAAATAAATAAATAAAATAAAAAAGTCTGAACGGTTTCAGATTTTAAATTACGTTCAAAGGGGCGTTTTGTTAACATTTTGTTTGTTATCTTTATTTACTTTATTTATAAATATCATGTTCTATGTACTCAAACTATAAAATTCAGTTCAAAAGCAATATCGCAAATTAATTTTAAAATGAGCATATCTTTAGAATTTCGTATATAGAGTCTCGAATGTTGGAGATATTTTTTTCCCCGTACAGTGTTGCCATTCTCGCTTTGAAATCGTTTAGTTTTTTTTAATCAAAAATTCGTTGAAGTGTTACAAAATCTAAAATCGATAATAAAACAAATTTGAAATTCAAATTAGGGCTTCCACAAGGCCATATTCTATGGAAGATTACGGTATACAAATTTTGATGACCCTATGTACCGTTCTTTTATCACAATGCGAGAAACATCCATACATTTATGCAGATTCTTCGTTATTTAAGTTCTTTAATTATAAGATAGGTCGATAATATATAGTGACAATGATTTGAAAAGTAATACAGCCTTTTAAAGTTTTCAACGCAAAGTGCCAAAACGAAACTAATAGTCCTTCAGGGCAAATTTTCTCTTTGGACAAATAAATAATTGAATTTATTTATATGCCTGAACGCAGTTTCAAATAAGAATTCGTTGTATTTTTCATGTTTGCAGAAAAAGTTTAGAATTTTCAAAATTGTATTTTTTATTTACAGGTCAATTCCTTCTAACCTTCTTCGGGAACATACAAGGACCTGACTCGGAACAGAGAGCTTACTAAAGCTATGTTCACTAATTGTGGTAAGTAGACAGGATACAGACGAAGGGTATACAAAACCCTTTATTTTTCTCTATATACAATAACTTCCGTACTTCGGAATACACTGACCCTCCACTCGGGGTCTAACGTAAAAAATATAAAAATAAAACTAAACTCTAATTTAACTTTAGAATAATACACGTGGAAGATTGGCCTTATAATAACAGGAAGCGTATGTAGCACAGAGACTGTGAACACTACAATACGTTTAATTTATCAAGAGGATTAAAACCTCTGGCCTGGAAGGCAAACAGCAACTGCGTAACTTCTAAGGTAAGCGGCCTGCTTCGAACTCACTGCTTCCTCTCTTCTCGCTTGGCAAAAAGGCCACACTTAAATACTTGGCGTTCGCCAGACAAACTTTGCATAAAACCTTCACGCTTATAATTCTGGCCGGAAGTAGAAAATAAGAAGTGATAGTAAAGATTTAAAATAAAATAAACGTTAGTAAAACTTAAGATCCTTACATACTTCCCGCCAGAGTTAATTAGTTTGAAACTGAGGTCTAAAACGACCTTGTTGAAAA